CCAGGATCATGACCTGAGCCGAAGGCAGCCGCCTACCCAACTGAACCACCCAGGCGCCCCCTGGGTTGTAGAATTCTCATTTTATCCTCTCACCATGGAAAGGGCAAGGGAGCTCTGTGGAGTCCCTTTAATAAGAGCACTCATCCCATTCATGGGGGCTCCACACTCATCACCTAATCACCTCCCAAAGACCCCACCTAACAACATCACCTTGGAGGTGAGAATTCAGCATATGAACCTTGAGGGGACACAAATTCAGGCCATTTGTGGCATCCACAAACCCCAGATACCATGGACATATTTTAAAACCATGCTTGTCTTTTATCGGAACTGGCATGCGAGTTGTGATTGGTTTTATAACAGAAAACGTAAAATATTCAACATTTTTAAAGCTGCAAAATAACGGATAAAATTTATTTTCAGTTCAGTGCCTGACTCTGCCCCATAACGGATGGAATGAGTGGGATGGATGGGTGATGCGTGTGGCCCTGCGTTTATACACTTTGTTGTGACATAAAATACTGTGGTTGCCACGTTAGCCCACGGACTAGCTGCAGGATGGCACAGAAGACTTGCTTTCTTCTGAGATGCAGCCAATGCAGATAAGGAAACCACCACATTGGTACTTCATCTTGACAATCAACATTCTCTGATGCCCTTTGGTCCGCATCCCCGTGGGGCTGCGTAACTACTGGAAGACTCTGCCATAGTCATCAGATTCCTCTCAGATCACAACACACCACGCCACGTGACACCACACAACCCTGGTCCCTAGTTCACCACAGCAAAACCCACCGTAGCACACCACATCCATACGGGGTTGGGGCAGCGAGGGCCTGTGTTAGGGCATCCAAAAGGCCTTTCTCCTTCTAGAGGTAGGTGGTGTCTGTTCCATGCGATGGACATACAAAAGGTCTCCTTTCACCACAACAGAGAATCACCCAGGGGCGCCTGGGTGGCTCAGCCGGTTAAGCGTCTGCCTTTGGTTCAAGTCATGATCTCAGGGTCCTGGGATCGAGCCCCGCGTCGGCCTCCCCGCTAAGCAAGGAATCTGCTTCTCCTTCTCCCTCTGCCCCCCCTTTCGTTCGGTCTCGCTCTCTCAAATAAATAAATAAAATCTTTTTAAAAAATAAATGGACTTTCCAATTTTGCCCAGAATTACTCAGTCCTCCATTAGCTAGGTGCTCCTACAACAGAAGGAAATGAGAGTTCTTCTTTTGAAAGAATATTGACATAGCAAGCTCAGCCATTCAGAGGCCAAGTAATCCGGTTTGTGAGTTTTAGAAGCACTTCAGTTTTGCTCCTGACGCTAGAAATCTGGCCATATCGCCTCCTACAAACAGAACGGTCGGAGACGGGGAGAGGAATGAGATTATAAACGAACAAACTGTGGGTTTGCAGCTTCTGATAATGGCAGATTAGCTCCTAGTGGATTAACCCGCCTGCAGATAACAACTTTAAAAACAACTTTAAACTCTTGACCAAATACAAAAAAAACAACAGCCCGAAGGCACCAGAGAGCAGCCAAAAGCAGGCCCACACTGGAGGGGAATTGAACCTACACTTGGAAGAAGGAAGAAGCGCCAGTGAGTTTTCCTTTGTTTACCGGTTTCATCTGAGGGCAGACCCCAGTCAAGCCAAGTAAGACAGCTAAAACTCAGATAGAAAACCTGCAGCCGTATTGGCTCAAAGAACCAGCAGAGTTTGGGGTGACTCCAGTAGCCATAAAGTGAAAGAGCAATTTCCAGAAGGAACAGAGCCATAGGCGGATGGTCCTAATTTTGTGTATAAAGTCTATTCAAGATACTGACTAATCCCCCAACTGTGTGCATCAGGCAGACGCCAAGCAGCCCAGTTAAGGTCAACAACTGAACTAAGAATTCTGTTGCAGCCCACCGAGGGGGAAAAGAGTTGGGAGTTTATATCTAGCCAAGTTTGCAGACTGCTAAACAAACCAACCAAAATACTCTTCATAAAAACATAACACAGCAAATTAAGGAGAAGGGAGGAAACAATAAATATAGGAGCACAAATCAATGAAATAGAAAGCAAGCAAATATATTTTTAAAAGCCCAAAAGTTAGGGGCGCCTGGGTGGCTCAGTTGTTAAGCACCTGCCTTGGGCTCAGGTCTTGATCCCCGGGTCCTGGGACCAAGCCCCGCATCGGATTCCCTCTCCCACTCCCCCTTCTTGTGTTCCTTCTCCCCCTGTTTCTCTCTGTCAAATAAATAAGTAAAATCTTAAAAGAAAGAAAGAAAGAAAGAAAGAAAATTCTCAAAATCTTACCCACAAAGAGAAAAGTATATATACTTATATATATCCCAAATTCCAGTCTTTTGTTAGATATAAATGTATCTGTAATTTACATAAGTATATATTTAAAACTCTTACAACTCAATAATAAAAATTTTAAAAAACAAGTACAAAAAGAAAGGGAAGACTGTGAGCAGACCCTTAACGAAGGGAGACGCAGAGACAGCCAAGCCTATGAAAAGGCGCTCAGTGTGATTGTCAGGGAAATGAACATTAAAAACAATCACAAAATGACACACTACGACAGACCCACTAGATTGCTTAACACTGTAAAAGCTGACAACAAGGGCCGGAGAGGGTGTGGAGCAGTTGGAGCTCTCCTGCACTACTGGGGGTGAGGAGGGTGTGTGAAAGAGTACAACCAGTTTTGGAAAATGTTCTGGCACTTTCAAATGCAAGTAATGGACTAAACCACACCATCCTCTGACCTAGCACTACACGCTTAGGATCTGAAAGCACATGTCCTCAAAAAGATGTGTCCAAGAGTGTTCACAGCCCCTCTCTCTCACTATCTCTCTCTCTCTCTCAAAGAAATAAATAAAAATCTTAAAAAAAAAAAAAAGACATGGTGCATTACTATCATCTCAGAAAATTCACGCGTGCCCCTTCCTGGCCAGTGTTCACCACCG